TGTTGTAGAAGGTGGACTCTTAGAAGACGCCCAGGAACTAAGAAAAATTGAAAAACGAATAGTGTCAGTTTTCATCGTGGAGAAGTGTATGCGCAAAATTTGTCGTTCGATGAAAGACACAGTGATAAAATCACTGGAGTCCTTGGGGTTCAAGCCCCTCAGAGTTGTTAAAGGAGCTGGGTTTTTCATGCGGGACGTATTGTTACCAACGCCGGAAGATTGCGTTGCAGCTTCGAGCCGAGATTTGATCACTAAAGATCTGGTCCTCCGCACAGAATACGAAGGCCGAAATCTCTTCCCCTCAGTAGAGATCCCAGACCTTATAGACACACATCCTTCTATACCCCTCTCCACACACCCAGTCCTCCCCCATTAAAAAAAGACCCTCCCACTCCCCTCTGCACACTCCCAGTCCTTCCCCCGTAAAAAAGGCAGAAATGCCACCACCCTCTTCTACAAGATCTACAATTTGGGAGAGGATGTTTGCACTTACGGCTCAGGCGGAAAGGGCCAGGGACTATGGCAATCGTATAAAGGACTTACACTACCTCCTATCAATTAAGCAGTTTGCTGACTTAGATGTGGAAGTACCGCAAAATTTCCCTCTAGCCCAAAGGGTTCCCACAGTTATTAGAAACGGCCCGGGAGCCAAACAAATTTGGGCGATGCTGGATGAGGCCATCATATCCTACAAGATGGCCTTGCCCATTGCGATTGTGCAAAATCAACAGCTGAAATCCTTAAAAAAATTTTGTGCAGGGAGGGTCCCAGTTTTAGTTCACCCCTCCCTGTATAGAGCCCTAAAACCAAATTTCCCCTGGGATATCAGCGGAATCTCCCAAGACGGCTCCATCAAGACTGAGATGGGCCATGGGTCTATGGGAGAAGCTGTTGGTATCCTCCCCCCAACCATGTTTAAACCAGTACTGCAACCCTAATCTGTTTTTCATTATGGCATTCTGGTTCTCTCGTGACCATGAGCGCCTCGGGGTGAATGTTTGTTGTGTACAAGAGACCCGGTTTTCCTCTCATGACCATGAGGATTTTCTGTCTAAGGGGTTCTCCCTTTATTCAGCATATTTTGATGGTTGTTCGAGGGGTGTCTATTGGCTAGTGAGCAATTCTTTGAAGGCTGCATGATGAGACAGGCAGTCTTTGCGTGCTGGATGTTACTATAAAGGATAAGGCTCTACAACTCATTGGGGTTTATGTGCCCAATAACCATTCCGTTCTTTGTTTCAGCAGATCGGGCCGTACTTAACGATATCTCATCGGGTAGTTTTAGCAGGGGATTGGAATGCCGTCCTTGACGAGGGCAGTTGTTGGGAACGCCTGGTGGGATAATTTAAAATCAAAAATTAGAACGTTTGCTGCTGACTTTAGTCGTTGACTAATTCTCGATAGATTAGCGGCGCAAACAGCTTTAGAACAAAAAGTTGATCGAACAGTGAAATCCCATAATAGTGGGGAAAAGCAGAGTTGTCCTCTTTGCTTATCAAGAAGGATCAAGCTCTGGTAGTTAGGGCTAGGTTAAAAGGCCGCTATGGTATCTCACGAGATCTGGTGCCTTCATCCCTCTGACGGGGGTCTGGGCATGTCTAGCATTGAGATTCGTCAACATATGCTTCACATCAACTTTCTAGACTGAATGTGCTGCAGATCAGATGAGGATGGTGCCTTCTGGAAGGAAGACGTCCATAAACATTTCCCATCTCTGAGAAGTGTGCACTCAGGCCAGGAGGAGGCTGGCCGCACACCCTGAGCCGAATGCTGCTTCTACCGCAAATGTCACCGTGCTTTGAAACACCTCTTATGGCGTCAGATGGCCTCTCCAACACCCAGGTGTTGTCTTGTAGGGCATTGTATCAAGTGTTAGTCAGGGGGGGGGCGTTCAGGATGATCTGATTGACGAGCTCGGTCTTACGAAGCAGGAGGCTCGCTCGATATGGCCTTGGGTGCCTGGGTTGAAATGCCTCAATATATGATGAGGCATCACTCACCTGGCTAGTGATTCGTGGGCCCCTCTGGGTCGCCAAGAGACTTTGTGCAGCAGGCTTGGAGAAATATCCAAACTGCCGTCACTGTACTGGAGAAGTCGAGACGATTGTTCACGCCTTCTTTCATTGCAAGATGGTAGTGCCGTTGTGCAAGTTTGTTGAAGGCCTCATGGTTCGCATGCTGCGGGGAAAGTTCTTTGTCCTTGAGGCCTGTTCTGTTTGTAGCAATGTGGTGCTGCAAATGACGAAGGCTGAACATTATGTGTTCTGTTGCTTACTAGGTGTTTTGAGAATCGTGATTTGGATGATGCGTCAGAAGGAATTCTTTGAGGCCGAGAAGTTCACTTCTTCCCAACTGATCTTGTTCTTTAAGCATCAGCTTAAAGTCAAGATCAGGATGGAAAGGCAGCACGTCATCTCATCAGAATTCAGCAAAAGGTGGGTGAATCTTGCGCGTATGTGTCGAGTAAATGAGACTGACTAGAGTGGCATTTTGATGCTGGTTAGGCATCATGATATTGTTTTCCTGGTTTAAACTTTGGTAACCCATCCCTGGATTTAGGCTAGAAGTAGGTTTTTAATTCTTTAGTTTTTCTTTTCTTTTCCAGTAAGCTTAGCTAGGGTGTGTTTGCTCATTGGCCCCTTTTATTTCTGTCCCCTTTTTTCGTTAGGTGGTCAGTGATTTCAGTTCTCTGGTGGATGCAGGGCGCCTTTTGTTTCGCGTGTGTATTTTTCGTATTTGTTGTTGTGTCAGAATGAGTGCATGTCTGTGTGAATGCTTGTGATGGATGAAGGTTTTTTTTTTGTTTTTTTTTAATATTCTTAAAGACACGCATCGATTTCGTCTAGTTAACTGATTTTTCTGCCACATTTAAGGTTTGTGGGGGGTTTTATTACTAACATGATTTTGTTTAGTTTCTTGTAGTTTATAACCATATTGTATATATATCATTGGGATGTTTTTAGCTACTTGTTTTTATTCCCCTCGCAGACAATGATTTATACATATGGGAACTATTTAGGACTTCCATTGAGACAATGAGGTATTTTGGTGGATGTAGTAAGAAAGGTAAGTATGAATGTGTTTTGGTGTTAGGATTATTGTTTTGTACGATTGTGTCAGTGGTTGTGGCTAGCTAAGTTATAAATTAAGACAGATGATGACCATCTCTTTTACCCACCCCCTTTTTCGGCCTTGTGCCACATTTACTGTATTGTTCAGTAATAAATATCATTTTAGCTTCTGGCCACACTTGCCTACTTGTGTGTCAGACCACTGACAAACTAACCAATATTCTACACAACTCAAGCTTTGTTCCAGTCTTAGCCAAGTTGAGCATAGTGCCACAATAAAACACAAAGTGGGTAGGGTTAATGTTTTGTACCCAGAACCAATTCATTCAATAAAAACAGTATATAAATTTTCATAGAACTAGACCCTGAAGAACTCTTATCTTTTCTTTAACTGCAAGGGCATATTTTTGGCAAATTCCTTTGTGAGATAGCTTTGCCGGGAATGGACCAACATCACAATTGCTGATGACAATTTGATCTTTGTCAGAGCAAGTTTAGACCAGAGTGACCAACCCAATGACCAGTGGTCGCATTTGACCAAAGTCCAACCAACAGAAGAGTATGAACCAGATGATAGGTAAACCTTTCTTCTCCAATTGAAGGAGGAGAAAAAAATAAACAATTAGTGAAAACCAATTCAGAATTCAGGCAAGGACGTTAGAAGTATGGAGTTGAAGTAGACTTTAGAAGGAACCAGAAACCCAATCCTAAACAGGGAACAAGAGATAAACGTCTACTACCATTGGGTGGAGGGAAAAAATAATAACAATTAGTGATTAAGACTTTGGTGTTCAGGCAGTATTACAAGGAGCACAGAATTGAAGCCGACTCCAGAAGGTGTGTAACGCAACAATTCAACTGATGATAGCAGGTAGGCACAAAGAAAACCGGTGTCGCACGTCCAACCTTCTCACGAGCTAAAAGCCCTCTGATCTGAAACAGCAAAAATCTAGGTTTTTTATACAGCATGACTGATTTTGAATTTGCATGGGAATGATTTAGACAACGAAATTTAGCGTTATTTAACCGAGACCGCCCGGCATAAAAACGTGGGCGCCGCCATTTTGGTTTTCTTTTACCGTTGGAAGGACCAGAGTTTGCATATTTTTATAGATTGAACACGTTTCCGAGGTAAGCCATTTTCACAATTTTCCCCACAGGTGTTCAGGCGGTATTACAAGTAGCACAGAATTGAAGCCGACTCCAGAAGGAACTGGAGACACAATCCCAAACAGGATAAAGTAAATAAAAAGTATATAAAATTATGGAGATTAGCTCTGAATATGTGTTAGAGTAAGGTTCGTTATGGAACTGATAGTATAATTTCAAATATCCTCTATCAAAACAAAATTATACAGGGAATTAATATTATTTGAATATCTGAGATATATGTACAAATAAGTCCAAATTTTGGTCAGACAGTTTAGGCTAGCAAAAGATGATTACATGCCAAAATATGTAAATAACCATTTAAAAATGAATACACTAATACAAAAATCAAGTACGGAATAAACAAAATAAAATTAATTAAAAAAATTTCTCTGTGCTTTCTTTCACTAAACATCGTCGGTGTCACTTGACCATTTGGCCAAATGTAACACTAAACAGTGATCTTGCTTGAAAAATAAACTTGTAGTTTGAAGAAATTTAATTTGATACCCGCTTCAATATATAATTTCTTACCAGTAGAACAAGATTTTATAGCTAGAATTCTATTTTCAAAAGAAAAAGAACCATTTCTTCATGAAAAATCTATAAGTTAGAATTTTTTTTTCAGCTACTTAGACTTCAGTTATCTATAAATATTTTCTTTTCACTTATTCTAATTAATTTTTTTTCAGTTATAATATTCATTTCATATAAGTCAGCCTGACTTTCTATTAATAACAAATAAAAACACTGTAAAGAAAAAAAATATATATATTTTACCTGTTGCACTGCTTGCATCTTAAATTTTTCATCACTAAAACCAGATTTCTGATTAGCATGTTCAAGCTGCTGTTGAAGAGAAATCCCAGAACTGTGTGCAGTACTGATATATCCAGCTTTAAATCAAATTAAAATGCAGAAATGATAATTATATAACAGGAAAACAAAAAAAAAAGCAAAACAGCAAAATTTGCAATGTAAATCTAGGTCAAAAATAAAATTTGCAATGTAATTCTAGGTCAAAAATAAATACACATTCTTTTTGTAATTTTGAAAAGATTAAATTACTTTTATATCATGAAAAGTAGCATTAAAAAATTGACTAACAAAATTATCTTTTTTTAGAAATGAAAAGTTACATATAATTGATTATGAATTCCCAGAATTAAAAATAAATCATTGTTTTGCTCTGTGCTGCTTTCCCAATATTCTTTGACACAAAGTATTGTTACCCTTAAATATGATAGGTTACAATGTCAACTACTTCTGTCTTCATTTTAATAACCCTTTAATATTCAACACACTCAAACTTACCCTATAAATATTGGTTCTCAAAATCTCAGTTTGCATGACTTCCTGTGTTATTTGCAATGATATCATCATATATTATCTCAGAATATACATGGGGCAGGTTTGGAGTGTTCAAACATTGAGAGCTAATATTTATTGGTCAGGTTTGCATGAGTCGAATGCTAAAGGGTTAATCTCTGTACAACTAAATATGCTGTAGTTTTGATTAGTCCACTGTACTAAACAACAACAGTTCTTCATTTTCTTAGTACTATGTCCCTTCAGTATATGGGGGATGATGGCTCGTCACAATTTCCTATCCACTGTAGCTCTTAGCAAATTTTGTCTTTTCATTTTTACTTGCAGTTTCCCTCTGTCCTTCTGTCTTGTGAGTGTCAAATTCTCCAAGTCCACTTTCCTCATTATGTGTCCTAGAAATTTCAACTGTCTCTAAGTATAAGTGTCCTTAACAATAATGGAGAATCAAAACTCAGATCCATAGTCCAAAAAGTATGAGGACAGTGTATTGCTTTCTAGTTCCTTGAACAGACCTGTTTGAAATGTAGACCTTCAATTTTCTTCCTCATTTTGTTGCATTAACTTTTCTCTCTTATTGCCAGAAACTATTGTGCTTAAAGTATCAATACCATAAGAAGATGGAATTCCAGTTTTTTATGGAAGCTTCAACATTAATAGATTATTAATAGAATTCTGTATAAAGTAATACTCATTCTATTAGGAAAAATGTCTGTAGCATAGGAAAATGATGATATGACTAATCGATAAGTATATACACTACAGTTCAAAGGTTTTAGGCAAACCCCTGGTAAAAAAGTAGTTGTTTTGTACTTTAAATAAGAGAAAATTATTATACATGGTTAAAAAAAATGATTTTTTATTAAAAATTTTATTATGACTAAAAGAAAAAAAGCATTTTATGATTAAACTTTGTTCTCATCAAAATATCCTTTAGCGTTGATTACTGCAGCACAAATTTTTGGCAAAAGTTTCTCAAATTATAAGTTTCCTAACAGATTTCATTTTTTTTTTTTTTAATGACTCTAAGAGCTCTTTTTCATTTTTTTTCACTCTTCTCTCAAGTTCATCCTATGCTAATTCTGGAGGTGGCTTCAAACTTTTGAACTAGTGTATACAGTGTGCAATGGATAAATTGTTGTCTAAATCATGCAAAAATGAAAACAATACTGACATCTCATTTTAACAGATATATTTACCAAAATTACATAAAAATATCTTGAAATACTAAAGAGTAAATTTATTCAATAAAATCTCCATTGGTTTCAATCATGGCCTCCAGACAACTTTGGAATCTCCTGCAATTTTTCTGGATGGTCTCCTTGTTTAAGTGGGTGAATGCTGTCATAATACTTGCCTTCAGTTCATCTTTAGTGTTACAAGCAGTTTTGTTCACCTCTCACTCAACTGCACCTCACACATAATAATCAGGGGGGTTGCAGTCTGGGGAGTTAGGTGGCCAGATGTAAGGGGTGATGTGTCTGATAGCCATGACTGGGTTCTCTTACTTGTGTGGCATGGTGCAGATTCCTGTCACCAGACATAGGATCTTCTAGTAGCCACCCTCTTGGCCCAGGGTAGCACTACCTCCTCAAAGCATTTGATGTAGGCCTCTGTGTTGAGTACAGGACCCTCACCAAAAAATTCAAGAGTTCTTTTCTTATCAGAATGATCAGAGCAAGTTTTCCGAGCTGCCATACTTTTGTAATCACCATTAGATTCATCCACCTTTTTCTGAATCCTCTGCAGACTGACAACCAAACACTCTGAAATGTTTGTATTCAAGCTTCCAGCATAAATGCCAGGTATTTCAGCATGCTGTTTCCAAATTTCTGGCAGGGTGAATTGTGTTATGGTGCTCTTTTTCTCACAGACAGTACTCAACTGATCCTACTATACTGTGCAGAGAACAAAATCAAAAACAAACACATGCACAAAATTAAAAATATAAAATGCAATATTTGGCACACCAAATAAGCTAGTGATCAGCTTTATCTAATTGAACTAAGTCAAGATTATAGAATCTACAATTTCACACTGCAGTTAATTTTAAATTCCATAATCTTTTACATGGTTGCATAGCATGTGTGTTGACAGGGCTACATATGGTTTTGAATTCAGAGTTGCCCTTCTCCTAGACTGATTGCTATGGTTAAATCCAGTCAACTCTGCTACTTAACTCTTAGTTGGGAGGAGAAGAGATTGATTCCCATACAGGCAATACTGAAAGATTATTGCAAATACTATTGTAAACATTAGCAGTATTTTTTAAAGGTCACTGACATGTCAAAGGTCATGTTATAAGTGCCTAATATTGTGTAGGAACCTCTCCAACTCAGTAAAGTGCAGCAACTTGATTCCACAAATGATCAGAAGACATTTGGAGAGATGTTGAGCCATGTCATATTAATACTTTGTCTATTACCACAAACAATTCTAGCCAAACATTTCTGGTTACAATCATTAACCTGTTGTCGGCCACTGCACTATTCATATTGGGCAGCTATTACTGATACAGACATGACAACATAGATCTAGGAAACATATGCCCAAGTCTCTCAGACAGTTTTTCACCAATTGATCAGCTTCTGTCCCATGCTATGATTCGCTTCTGACTTTTGCCTGTTTGGGAAAAAACTGGAAAAGACTCAGTGTGCATTCACCTGGCACTGATGATGGTAGATGGGCAAGTGAAACTTGGAACATTTTTGCTGTTTCTTCCATTTTCCCTCAGGACAGACTAACAAACCAGATCTTCCCTTCGGTCAGTGAGAATTTCATCTCTCTCTAACTCTAGATCTCTCTTACTGTAACTATGAAACTGATTGTCAAATGACTGCAGTTGCCTGTCACTCTTCCTGTAACCCTCACAGCCTATCTAGCAATATAAGACACAGTCAGTAGCCATAAAACAACAATTGTTTAAGACCTAGATAAAATTATTTACAGTCCACTGGACTATAAGTATGTCCCAATTAACAGAGCAGGGACCCATCGTGTCACAGATCAAGGAATGTCAAAAGTCACCACAATTTCAAAAATGGAATCTCCCATCTCTTTGGTACCCACTATATTACCCCATTCAAACTCTGATAATTCAGATCTCCTTGCCATGAACAGCCTAGCAAGTGTTTATGCTGACTTGTCAGATATCAGAACACAACTTATATAGGTCTAAGCATTTCCAGGATGACAAGGTAGAGTAGCACCACCAATCATTAGGTTTACATAGTTAACCTATGACTTTTAGCATATCAACTCTTATTATCACTCTACCTGGTGGTCTTCCCCAATTCTCACTCAGGGTTAATGAATAGAACAATGGACACACCAAGAGAAAAAGTGAAGATTTCTCTTTTCTTCCACAATAAAAGCTAATTTTCTGAAACGAAAGGGTTGCTAATGAAAAGTGATATTGTCACAAAGAGGCCATGTGGCAATCTTTAAGGTTGACAATTGATTAATAAGGCCATTAGCTGGACTTGGTTGCGAAAACACAAAATAAGGTCTCTTTGTGCAATCTAGTACTTGTACTTGGAGTGCAGTGACCTTGGCAGGGCTTGGGAGAAAAGCTACCTAAGATACAAACATCTGGTAAATATCTGATTTTTGACAAGACCAGGATGAGAAAATTTTGCATAAGCAAAATTTGAAATGATAATTTTTAATTAATGTCCCTAAGTTAAGCCACGCCAAACAGTCAAGAGCTAGATTGGCCAAGATGTAGCCAAGGTGCAGGTGAAATAACGAAGAAGTGTTGGTGTGAGATGCCAATAAGAGAAGGAGGAAGTTATCAAGGGCAGATTGATACCTGTGACCATTACCCATAGGAAATGGGAATCTCCCCAATTTTGGAGATATAATTAATTTTCCAGAGCCAGACAACAAAAGGACTCTTGTTGGAAGATAGGAGCAAACACCAAATCCCCTAACCGTGTCATGCCCCACACCAGTTTTAGGTGAATGTCAATAAATGTAAGAAATCAAAGTGACTGAGACAGTTGTTACAGAAACTGAGACTGCCTGCCTGAAGAGAACCTCCAACATAAGCCTTGTGCCAGACTTAACCAAACCAGCCAAAGTGTCATTTTCAACTTAAGAAGCAAGTTGGGTCAATAATTTTCTGCATGAAGAATTGATAAATCCTAACGTCAAGACAAATCAAGCACTGTACAAAAGAACGTATATAAAAGCATTTATTAAAGTTATTTTTTTTTCTCACTTGCATCTTCACTCTGTCTGGACCAACCCAATGTGACAATTTCTGACAATGATTCGATCTTTGCCAGCCTTATGACCAAAACTAAACATGTGAGATAAGGCAAGGTTTGGATTGAAGTGATCAACTCATTGATTAGCCGCAGGGATTGGACATTCGGATGAGCTGGCCAAGAAGGAGGCGAGAGACAGTGAAAACTAATCAATTTTTGTTTTTATGAGTTAACAACTTCTCTAATAATGATTTTTGTGAACTGGATGTAAAATCTACATTGATCTCCAAATGAAGCCCAATATCTTTATTTCTTCATGAAATCATAATATACTTCTTTTTTTTTTTGCATTTAAAAACTGAGCTGCAACATTTCTGCTTAACCTGATTTATGATACACATATCAAAGTTAAGATCAAAACATAATAATGAATTGAGATATTACTGGATGAACCAATTTCATACATACACTTTGAATTCTTCAAAATTCAGATTCTATAACATTTTGATAGCATCTGATAAAATATTTACTCTTTGTCTACATGCGTCATCAAAAAGGAGAGAAATTATTCAACTAGAAACTTCAAAACACCTCAAGGTATATATGATTTCTGCATAAGCACTGAAACATTACTTTTTAAAAAGTATAATTTTTTGAAAAATAAATATAAAAGTAAATTTCAGTATTTCATGTGGCTAGAACTCAAGGAAACCTAAAACATTGTAGCTTGCAATCTCAATATTCTACTCACAATATATCAGTTACTTTTACAAAGAAACAAAACTCAGAATATTTTAAATAATCTCTATCTGTTCTAAAATAATGTATATATATGTAACCGAGTTTATTTTACTAATCAATAACATAATTGCTATCATTAGTAATTCTAGTGATATTAGCATAAAGGCAATATTTGTATTCCTTGTATTGTATTAAATACAAAGCCACGAGAGCAAAATTGATCTACTTTATTTCTGAAATCAGTGAAAATTCAAGGTGTCAAGTCTGATATGTGTAAAGAATGAGGTAAAATGCTCCAGACTAATAATCACTTTTTCATAGGTTTGTTTTGTCAAAGATTACACCTTTTTTATTTTATTCAAGGCTACACATTTCTGGTATAATGCACTAACACAATAGAGTTATTGACAATAAAAGCCTGCAGAGATGGATATTGATGTTTTATAGATGGTTTCTTCAAGTGGATATTGATGTTTTATATCACCAGCAAAACATTCTATGAATCAAGTCTTAGATTTTTTTATAGCTTTGATATATTGTTTTTTTTTATTCTCAACTGTAACAATCCAGTGGAAAAAAAGGAATTTATTTATTCCTGGTTAGTAGACTGGTACCTTAAATTTTCTGATGGCAGTTCATAGGGAAGACAAATTCTTTTAGATTACTTTTTACTTGAGATATTCACTGACAGTTGAGCATAACATCTTTTTTTCAAAAACTCTGGTGCTTTGTCAAAAATCTGATTCAACAGATGCTTTTAAAAGATAATTATGACTATCAGAAAAATCACATTTACCCATTTTTAATTTATTAAACCATCCCTATCATTTATGAACAGGCACTGCACAAATATTCTTCATTGTCTATGTTGTATTACTGTCTTTATGAAATTCATACAACATATAACTTGAAACATGACTCTCATTAAAGTCAGTCCTTAAAAAATCAAAACACAACCTGATAGAGTAAATGTAAAATGTGGGGTTAGGCAAGAAGTTCAATCTGTTTTTTTTTATTGGATGACATTAGGAACATTTAGCTTTAACTTCATTGAAAAAAGATTGCATTTGAGCTGTCATATCTCAGTATGCATTTTAAAAACATTTTGTCAAAATTTGCAGATTTTTGTTTATTGCTTCTAATTGAAGGTGGAAGATAAGTGATATTTTGGGCAGATTATATTTTTTTTAATATAAGATAAAAATGAGTTTCAAACATGAAATATTTTTTAATTTTATAGAGTACTGTGACTAGTTCAATGTACTAAAAGTAGTCTGCAAAGTTTTGTGCTGAAGATATCTTTCTGAATTCCATGAGTAAACCAGTTAAAGACATTACTAGAGAATAATTGCCCAATATGAGGGAGAGCCAAAATGCTCAACATCAAATGCTGAAAATCATTTATATCAGTTTGATTAAGCATTTTAATTCATTTTGATAACTTAGAAAAAATTATTTCCCCACATACAAATGTTTAATTTTTGGAAAGAAATTGAGATACATAATGAAAATTTAATACTTTTCTAATATGGAATGTAAGAAATTGTGAAGCAAGTGAAATGAATCACTATTGATCAGTTTTTACCCAGAAAAGAAAATGCTGTATATAGGGTGGGATTAGATGGGAGCCCTCTACAAAGAGCTCCTTCCAGAAAACCAAATGCTTAATTCAAATAAGTGCTGATCCTAATTAAATTATTTGATGGTGGCAGTCAATAAAAAGTATGCATCCAGAATTAATTAATAGAAAAGGTGTAATATTCCATCAGGATAAGTTTCCTTAGTGACCAAGAAAAATTGTTATCACTTGGCTAGAAAGTTGTCACTCAATCACCATTTTCAACATACATTACAGCTTTGAATTATCATTTATCCTGGTTTTTATAAAATTCTGGTAGAAAAATTTTAAATTCTTTGAAGACTGAAAAAAGCACCTTGAGTATTTCTTTGGCCAGAAACTTTTAGGAGGATGGAACTATGAAGTTGCTTGAAAAAAAATATTTTGTTCAATAAAGTTAATGCTACAAAAATACTTTTATTTTTACTTAAACCAAACACTTCTAATCCACCCAATAAGTTTTATTCTTTACTATTTAACCATGATTTCACAGTAATTAGTTGATTTGAAATTCTCAAATTTAAATTCCATAATTACTTTCCAAAAAACCTAATATTTCAATTTATTAATAGTACTTCTAAAAAAAAAAAAAAAAAACAAAAAACAAACAAACTAATTGAGTTTTCTTTGTCTTATGATATTTTATGAATTGATGAAAAAAAAAAAAAATAGCATAAATACTAAAATTCATTCCAACTTATTAGTTGGAATGAATTTTAGTATTTATGCTATTTTTTTTTTTTTTACTTCATAAAGGAAATATTTTACCCAACATTTCCCAAATTTATAAGTTTTTTTTCTTTAAGCAAATTTAAGTGTTATAAATCAATAAATTAAAAACAAATCTTTTTACCAGTTTGTTGCATGCGTTGCAATGGATAATTGTGTGTATAGGCATCAGCAAGTGGTTTCTGTTGCTGTGCATAATGGCCAGGATAGGAGGTAAATGCTGACTGAGTTGCAACTGTTGGTGTAGATGCATACTTTGTAGTAGGTGGTCCTGCTGTATAAGGCACACCCTGTTGTTGGTAAGCATGCGCTTGTTGGCCCGCATAAGCCACTTGAGGTGGCTGACTTTGCCCATAAGTGCTTGGTTCTAAAATATAATTCAACATATGATTAGAGGAGTAGCTGAAATAATCAGTCATTTAATATTGCTGTTCAAAGAAAATTAAGAGTTTAATGATTTTTTAAAATAAAGTTCTCATATTTTCATAAATTACATGAATAAAACTACTTTTTTCTGCTTTGTCTGACTTTAACCTAGACAGTGATAAATAACAATTTTTTTTTTTTTTTAAAGACAACCTTAAAATAACAATTATTTAAAATAGTTTTTATAACACTGATTTTTAGACTAAATTATGAATGAAAGTACTGTTTACTCACCCTCAAGATTGATGTCAGAAATAAATTACTTATGCATACTTCTTTGCAATTTTAATTACTCATGTGAAAACTTTTGACAGGGAGTTCTTAAACACCAGGAGAAGATAAGGGGTCTGAAAGATAGATTTACTTATCCAAAAATATTTACGATGACAACTTGCACTTCTAAATATCCATTTTTGATATATATATTCAATGAAAATACACTAATTTTATACTATATGTTCTAATAAAGCCTGTAGTAATTGCTGATAAAATTTCAGTTAGTTGTGAACATGCATGTACATATTAATTATTTTTTCAATACTATAGTTTAGTCAAAATCAGGGAAAACATTCAGAACCACAACATTGCATCTTCATTGTTATCTTTTGGTGCAAAGATAAAGGTTACCCTCCTGTGGTAGAATAAAGATAAAGGTTACCCTCCTGTGGTAGAATAACATTTCAGAATGCAAAGGCAAATTCATTATACTGTCAATCTTCATTCAGAAATAGAACAAAGGCAATATGGCACACACTAGTAAATTATATTTGAATAAATTTAAATATGAATTGATCGGATTTTTAAATGAATAAATTATAAATTAAGTTAAATAATAAATAAACTCGAATATATAGCTACAATTTTAAAAAATAAATAAAAATCAATTATAATTAAATTTAAATATCGAATCAAGTAAAAACTTTAAAAAGCAGTTCTTTATAAAAAAAGTTTAATGTGAATTTCAGTTTTCATCAGAATTGCAACTGATAAGATTTAATTAAATTTTAATTAAAATAAGGCATAAAGTAAATTGCTCAGCAAGAGTAATAGATGTTTAGACAGAGGACATTAGGTATAAGGTCCAACTTTACATGAATAAAAACTTGAAAAAGGCCTTTTTCAAGGTATGTTCAGAAAGCTACCACTTAAAAGGTAACAGATTGTTCGCATAACAATTAAGGGGTAACAGGCAGAGGATGGAGGAAGACAGGAAGAAATACAAAACTGAATAATGAGGAGTGAGGCTACTACCTCAAAAACTACAGCACAGTGAACAGTACATAACTTATGGAACAAAATGCGCCAAGGAAATGTCTTTACAAGAAACTGAATTTCCGACGATAACAAAGCAAGTCTTCTGGTTTTTCCCCGTCACTTTTATTGACATGAGATGGTTGGCAAAGACCCAGATTTGGACAAATTGTGGAGAGGCTCATATCTGGATATGCCAAGCTGTTCTGCAACTTGTCCAGATCTTGGTCTTTGTTAAACCTGGATGTGACATGTCAGCATGCAACTTGTGGCCTCTCTTGCATTTGCACTGATATGTGTTCACCACATGTAATTGCATTAGATTAATAATGTGAAAAAAAAAAAACATTTATTCTAAGTAAATTTTAGAAAAATTACAGTAAAATATTCTTTGATGTAAATTAAATAATTTTTTTATTGTAATTGTAAAAATTTTCCTGACAAACAGCAATGGGATGAATTTTAAAATTGCATTTAAAAATTCTTGAGAATGGTCTATTTCTGTCAGAAGTTTAAGGGTCTGCCCTGTTTGTAATAGAAATTCATAATAAATCAATCCTCTTGAAAATAGCCAATTTCTAAAACCAGTTTCTAACACTACTACAGTTACATATTTGATATATTTCATAGATTAGGGTTCCCAGTATTCCATAAAACCCCACTTTATATGAAGAAACCCTTAAGAAGGATGTTTTTTAAAAGTTTACACTAAAATATATATAAACAACATAGATCATATATGATAGGTACCACTAAAATAGATGTTTTTTTTAACAAAATGAAAGCAACAAAAAAAAAAATCATAAGTTTTCCACAACCCAGATTAAAAATATTTGCCTAAATCAAACAAAATCTTCAGTACATATTGATTAATGAATGAATGTTTTATTTAATAGGTTTTTCCAGTAAAAAAATTTATGCGATATCAAGCGTGAACATACAGAAAATTTGACACACATCTTACCAAAAATAATTCAATAAAACTCAAAAAATTTTGTTTTTGAGAATTCATGTTTACATAATTTAATAGAACACATTGGACAGAAAAAAAATTACTTGTAATTTATCAGTGCAATTTTGAAATTCATCCCATTGTTGTTTGTTCCAAAAGCTTCTTTTATTAAATAAAACATGTTTAAAGAATCAAAAAATGTAAAGTTTAATGCAATTTTTAAAAGCATTCTATTTTTGGTATGGATGTACAAAAAGGATATAATTCTGATATCTCACTTTGACTGAATGCTATTCAATATCAGAAGAGTATTATGATATTAATCTAATTTCATATTTCCCATTCACTCAGTTTTTGTATTTTTGACTTTGTCCTTCAACCACACAGACTACTAAGTGTAAATAAAATGTTAAGGTAAGCATTACTTTTAAAAATTCCAGCAAAGTCTTAAATTTATTAATAGACTTTGAAATACATCTAGAGCAAGGGTCAGCAACCTACGGCCTGCAAAGGCATTTTGACCAGCCTACGAGCCTGATTACCAATGACTCTAGTTTTAGACTATCTGCCAGTTACCGTTCATGAGACTTATTTTACCAAGTTGTGTTGCCTATGTTTAATATCAAATAATGGATACATATTTGTTATGACCCTTGGCTACATTAAAAGATAACAGAAGCGAAAGGAATGATAAAGTGAAAGAGGCCAGGGAGGGACTGACATGCGAGGTAGCAGAAATCTAAAGACAGGTAAACATACGCGCATTATACATACATGCCTCATGAATGTGTGGATGATGCCGCATGTGTACGTACGTAAGTGTATATGTTTGCAACTATTTGTACTCGTATGTATGGGTATATGTGCTTCATTTTTGTTTGATATGTGTGTGTGTGTGTGTGTGTGTGTGTGTGGTTGGTTTGTGAAACAATTTTCAATAACAGTTTCAAACCTACACGTCATAATTTCATCCATTTCACTTTGGTTGATTTTTTTCACTTTGAAGTATTTTGACGTTCCTTGAGGAAAAGTAATTTTTGTTAGGTGTTTTTTAATTTTAGATTTTCTTTTGTTTTTCTGCTTTCTCAATGTTTATTTTCATTATGGTTTTAAATATTTAGGTTGACAGGGGGCTGCATATGTAATTTTCCTTAATTTTTGATTAATGGCCTTTGTCCGGCCCGCTACCCGTCATTATAACACAATCCAGCCCACGAGGTCGAATGAGCTGCCGACCCCTGACATAGACCATAGCACAATAATATAACAGATTTTAAATTCATTCTTTATGAACAATAGAATTTTTTAAAAAATAACTTTTTTTATAACAACCAAGATGCAGGATGTCAAGTAACACCAATGGAAAATAGAAATGAATACAGTGTTTACTTACTATATTCACCTTGGGGTGGAGTATACACAACTGTAGGTTGTTTGTTAGATATAGCATAAGAAGTTGGTGGATATTTATGCTCTCCAGGATAAGGTTGATAGACAGTAACAGGAGGTGATGGAGAGCGAGTTCTTTTTATCCCTTGATGTAAATGTTGCTGAATCTAAATAAAACATTAATTTTTAATTTTTTTTTAACCAGCATTTAATTTGTAGAAGAAAATGTTTTCAATTATCTTGTCCATCATGTGTGATCATTTGATCACTTATGAAACACCAAAGAAATTATGACAATGTCATTCTGAAAAGTTACCTAAATCAAAAGGAATTATTTACCAGAAATAACCTGAAACATTTTCACATGACATCAAAATAAGATTTATCTATGCAAAATTACAATACAAAATTTCTTACAATTATCACCAGATTATTAATATAAACTTAATTTTGCTAATTTACACCTTGTAATACCTTTTTTTTAAAAAAGATATTTTTAATAAAATATTCTATTCATATAAAATCAACCATCAAAATGTCTCCGAAGTTTTCTTAAATCACTTTTCAAATAGTGTATTCCACCATAGAAAATTATCAAGAACTTGTTGAAACTATATGAAAAGAATGCTTCTTGGAGTGAAACAAATCATAGGTCAAAGATGACAGCACTGGAGAATATACCATGTGAATGAGAGAACTTTTCATCTAAGTATCATGATCATTTGGTACATTTCATTTGCAATTTGTGGATATACATTGTCTTACAACAAAAAAATTGCCCCACCCACCAAAAAATGGAATTTTCTGTACCAATTTCTCATTTGCATGAGTTCACCTATTATATTATTATATTGTATCATCCTTCAAATGTCTCTTTCATTCATCAATTTTTGATTTTTCAGCTCTTTCAAGATATCGTTTGTACTTGAGTGTAAAATCTATTTTAAATATCACAAACCATTCTTAACATGCTTACACCTTCTGTAAAATACCATAAAATTCAGTGTTTCACTGTCTACTTTCTTTTGCACCCTTTACTTAAACATGAAGAATAAATAGTGTTGAATGTTCAGTTTATATTTAGTATTCCATCATGATTTTCACCAGAATAAAGTTACTACTTTTTTTTTTTAATTTTTTAAAATTAAATATTCATAAAGAACTAAGTAAGTTTCAATAAAATTTCAGATTTCCTTAATATTGCTCAAAGGATGTTACTGGATACTTTTGTATCAATAGAATATATGGATTAACATAAGATGAATGTTACCTCCAATTATGTCATTATTCTATAAATTATTCAGTACTTTCATTGTTTGTATAATTGTTTCAATCAATGTGTTCTTCAGAATTCTTTAAGTGTATGCTAGATGCATGGTAATCTTTGATCACCACCCATATTATGAAGCCCTATATAAAAATTGTAGTAGAAAAGTTCAAAGAATTTGTGAATGGTATAACATCAGGGTAATTTTCAATAGTAAATTTGAATATTTCTCATAAGTATCAAATTTCTGAAGTAAATATGATCAAGAAATGTGTATGTATCTCTTGCAGTTGTAATAAAGAATATAAACCGAACATCTAGCATGATTATTTAAAAACATTGAGCATTAAAAAGACCATTAAATGTGAAGTCAAAAATGATAGACAACTAAATTGGAAAATACAAAAAGTGTCATTGTCATCCTACAAAAATACAAAAGTAAATCAAATATAGAGTTTAATTTCATACAAGAAGCAGCATTCAAGTGTTAAATAATACAATAACATATATAAGGTGGATAAGAAAATAATGATATTAACCATATATAAGGTGGATAAGAAAGTAATAATTAAAAGGTTTCCTACATATACACAATGTTTTATAAAAAATATATTAGTCTTTTTTCTTTGCATCATAAAATAACATTAAATTATTGCATAATTTAAAAAATATCAGCTTCTTTAAGACAATCTACATAATGATCAGCTTAAAACTAAGATTAACAATGACGGCATTGATAATAGAAATAAGTGTTGATATTTTTAATAAGAATTATTCAGTAATAGTCAAGAAATAATAAAAGTGATAAAAAAAAGAGTAGAATAAATGAATACAAACTGCAGTTGGTAAGACAATGTAATGATAAAGGTAATAATTGCAAGATCAATGGAAATAGTAATATACTGATTTTTGCCTCCACTGTAATTGATTGCACTTGTGGATAGTGTGCATGTATCAAGTGATAAGAGTTGGTATTTCATTTATTGGTTGATTATTAGTTGATCATTATTTGTTTTGATGCATATTTTTTCATACTTTTTGCACTTATTTTATCTAAAAGAGAATGAAATATTTTTTGGCAATGACTAAGTGACATTTTTTTTGTGTAGGAATTGGCCTGATTCACTAAGTTTAGATAGATATTGTAAATCATTTGTCTTTAAGAAAGAACTCCCATTTGTTTTCATTATTGCATGTTTTATTCTCTTGGTTTAGTGTGCAGGATTTTCTGTTATAAATTAGGAAAATTGTTCGCTTTGCATCTAAGTTACATGCTATACTGAAGTTTTTTATTTCTTATAGTATTTCGATAGTTTTTTGTTTAATACATATTAATTTGCTCTCATCCACAGAAAAAATATGAAGGAAACTATTTCTATATTATCAAATTTTCTGATTTTAATTATACTAAATTTAAATCCTCTTAAAGAAAAAATCCATTACCTAAAATATTCTTAATACTTAATCATTACTTTGTAATTACTAATACCATGAACAATTTTATCTGACATGAAGTTATCTACAACTACTATGTTAAATAACGTTAATTTTTGTAAATTAGCTAAATCATGCATCATCAATTTTAACTTTCTTGATCAAGTAATCAAAATCAAAGTATTTAACAATAAAATTAACAACTTAAGAATTCAATCTCAATTAGCATTTAGTGAAATAATTAATAAATGTAAAAATTTTTTTAAATTTTGGATTAAAAAAATGAATGTAATACATACAGGAATAAGTGGCTGATGAGATTTATACAGCGTTGGTCGTCCAGTCACACCAGGAGCAAGTAACATTGGATGTGCTGTTACAGTTATACCTTGAGAATAAGCTATATTTAGCAACTCACTGGGGGGAAAAATAAATTAACAAAATAATAAAAAATTACATTGTTAATGACATTTACTTTAATACATACATTTTTCTTATATAAGAATATATTTACATAATATTTAGAAAAATGCAACATATATGTTATAATCCACTTCAAATTAGATCTCTTTCTAAGTCACCCTGTATGTCAACTGAATGTGAACATTAGGAAAGCAAAAGCCAAAATAAAAAAAAAAATTCATCCTCTGTGCAGGAGCTCTGAGCATCACATCACATTTTGTTCAACCAATCTAACAAACACGTCAACTTCAGGCCTTACCAATTCTAGCCTTCTTTCAAAGGCTGCCTCCCAGGTTACAGACATTCTGGTCACATTCTCTGTATCAGCAATACAAAGAATTTTATATTAATAGTTTTTGTCTTCTTTTCCTTTTACCTCACAAGAAGGAACTTGTTTTGTTTGTTCTTTCCATACACGTGTTTATAATATATAAGTAAAACAATATAAAAAACAGTAAGATGTAGCTCAACATCCTGTAAAGAATCTCTACAATGACAGTAGCCATTTTTGCTTGTTTTTTGCAGTGGAAAAGTTCAATAGTCTATTGAGAAAAAAAATTCATTTTACTGTGATGCAGGAAATTTTGGATATGACAATGTAACAATAAAAGGGAAAATCCTTAAGTTACAGCAGTGACAATTGACAGGGAATTTAAAATTATTTTACAATATCAAGAGAAACTAAGTCATATTTTAGTAGTTATTTAACCATTCAACAAAAAGTACATTATGATAGAAAAAACAGTATACTGTTTTTATAAAGTTCTCATTTATATTAAATAAATCTGATTTATTCATCTTAAACACAGAAACACATATCAAAGATTCTCAACTTTCAACATTGGTTGCTTGAATTCTATAACTTGCCTAAATTATACTAAAATTGGTTTAGGGATTTTTAGATCTATACTTGATGAAATAATAATATTAAGTTTTAGTTACATTAAAACTAATGAAATAAGTTTTATATCCATAATGATTACTTTTTTTTTTATCAATTATTAAAATTGTGTCACATATCTTGTTAACAATAAAGGTCAAGTAGATATAATAATAATAGACTCCTACAGAAATTATAATCAAATGAAAATTTATGTTCAACAAGATTTAATAAAAAATCAAATATCATAAAAATACATATTTTGTTTGAAGGCCGATTATAGATTATATCTTCGATATAAAAACCAATAAAGATGAAAAGATCTGTTTCCTTAATTATAATAAACATATATAATCAAGTTTTATAAATTTTAGTATGCCTCCATATGTTGATAGAAGAAAGTCCATCATAACAGCACAGTTAAAAAAAACTGGTGTCATAACAGCACAGGTGCAATTGTTTGTAACAAGTGCTTGCTAACAAGCACTTGTTACAAACAATTGCACCTGTGCTATTAAAATAGGACTTAACAAAAATATATGCAATGCAGTACAAAACTTGATTATTTTATACACTTGAAAACTATCTAATTAATAATGAATATTCCATGCAGACAAACAGAAATTTTTAATTATACATACACAATTTTCTATGAATTTTAAGGACATTTTGAGAGTCAAAACAAAAGGTTACAAACAAATTATTATTCCAATATTTCAAAGCTATTCAATAGCATTTTTTGTGAAATCAGGATTTTCTATTTTCTTTTCAAGTTAGTTTTAAAGATTGTTTATAATTCTATGCGAGTAATCATCAAGACTGGCAAAACTATGAGGAAAGATATTTGAATAATCTTTCAGATTTTATAAAATGTATTAATTTGTTAATTTTTGTAGTAATCATTTGTGGAAAGTTCCTAAATAAAACATGATTTAGTAATTTAATTAGATTCATTTTGAGCATTTATCATGTGGATGGGTTCTATTACATTTTATTGTATTATGTAATTGAAGTGTTTATATTTGACAGGATGATTCTCACATTGTGGTAATAAATTCAAGTTATGCTGGTGTTATTTAATAGACTTTAGCAGTTGGTATGATAAACAGAGTACTCAATATGGATTGATTTGTCATTACCATACAGAGAATCAGAAATCATTTTTTTTTAGAAAATTTCAATTTAGTATCAATAGGTAAAAAGCCCCCGTGTTTTTGGCTATCATTTTTTACAAGTAATATTGAATATATCAGGAGAGTAATTTGGTTTGATATTATAGTGAAGAAAACGGCGACTTACCTCGTCAAACCAAGCAACAACATGTCACGTGTATCCCATGACGGAAAATGTGGCAAAAAAAAATTACTTAAAAAAAAAAAAAAAAAAAAAAAAAAAAAGGGCACGTATTCCGCATGAAATGCTGAAGACAGAATGTTTAAATTAAAAAAAAGAGTCCGTCACAGGAGTCGCTATAAAAGTATTTTGATTGGGCATTCTCTCCCAGCTGTCGACGAATGGAAAAAATGCTTGGCCGATAAAAGTAGTTGGTGTTCTCAAATCGGGGGACAAAATTTGTGTATTTTGGCTTATGCGTTTGTCGGAGAGAGTTATTTTTTTGACTGGTTATGTGCATTGTGATTTGTAAGATAGTATCTTCAAATCAAGTTTTCGGCATTTCTTTCTGCCCTGATATTCAAGTCTGAACTTACATTGATTTGTTCTCTGCATTGTGGAAGTAATCTGCAACAAATATTTCCTTTGCTTTCAGAACGCTTACAAGCTATTTCAGCGCTATGACGGACAAGACATTTGACATCAAGTTGATAACCGAGCTTGGGCCATAATGAAAGATCAAATTGCAACTGAAGAAATGGTTGCGACTACCATTTCACCAGGCGGAGCTGATAAACATCCAAACATTAAACGTCAGGAGGATATGCGATGCTACCGATGCTCTGGGTGGAATCACCTTTCCAGGGACTTCCCGGTTCAACAAGAAGATGCCCGTTAGCCACGCAGGTCACGCACAACAATGCATTGCTTCCAGTGTCAAGAAGTAGGACACATGGCTTCATTGTATCCCGGAAAAGAGAAAGGGGACAAGACATCAGCACAGGTCTCTTCCCTAAGTGAGTTATGAATGAGGCACTACCTGTATTGGGTATTTACGTGAACGGAATTAAGAGAGTGGCACTGGTGGACACTGGCTGCTCACAGACACTCGTGTGTAAGTCAGGCTGTCAATCCTGGCAGGTGACGGAGGTGAACGCACTCACCGTAAACGAAAATACTCTCAAATGTTGCGGAGTTGGAAGTATTAAGCTTGATGTGGACAATGCAAACCTCCTCAAAATCGAAGTCTTGGTAGTGGATGGAGAGCTACTGGGTTTTGACTTGTTGCTTGGGTTCAACACCATTAAAAAGTTGGGCAGACTTCAAATAATAGAATGTGGCAATGTACAGTTTCCCAAGCGTGGAATAGTCTGTTGCACCGCTATTAAAATAGAAGAACCTGATTTCTGTGCCAAATTCAACCAAAACCGAAGATATGGGTTGTATCATGGAAGTGGTCTGATGGTCAATCACCAGAGAGTTTGCGAAATCGGATGCCCGAGTACTCAATACCAATGGGAGTCAAGGAGGAATATGACCGTGAGCTGTAGAACTGGCTTGATAACAGTTGGTTGCAGCCTTATCCTGAAAAGGAACTTGGTCCTCCAAAAGGTTTAATTCTATTCATGGTGGTGGTGCAGAAAAACAAAAATAAAGTGCGTCCAGTATTAGACTATCAAGAGCTGAATGTGTGTCTCGACGCACATGCAGCCAATGCTGACGTGTGCGCACAGAAACTGAGGGAGTGGCATAAAAAAGGACCGGATGTCGATATCCTTGACCTATGGCAGGCCTATCTACAAGTACATATACATAAGTCACTTTGGCCCTTTCAAACTGTAATCTTCAAGGGGCAAAGATATTGCTTGACCCGAATGGGTTTCAGGTTGAATGTTGCACCAGCCATAATGAAGGCCATTGTGGACACCACGTTGTCAAAAGACGAGTCAGTTTGACAGGCAACCTCATCATATATTGATGATATTTATGTTGATGAGAGCAATATTTCAGCAGCTCACATGAGAGTACTTGGCTGTGTTTGGTTTGACCTACAAGGATCCAGAGTGGTTACGGGATGGCACACGAGCAAGATAACAACACGCTTAAGCGGAAACGTGAAAATGGCATTCTATCAGTTCCTGAGGTCCTGACGTAACATAACATCTTCTCATGGTGTGGAAAACTGGTGGGTCATGTTCCTGTGTATGGGTGGCTTCGTGTTGCTGCATCATTTGTTAAACACAGGACAGTATCAATCATGTCTGGCTGGGAGGCCGAAGTGACAGATGCTCCCCTTAAGAAAATGATTGAGGACATAGTGGAAAGAATACACCATAATGACCCTGCACACAGTAAGTGCTGCACAAGTGGACACACTTATGAGGTATGGGCCGATGCAAGTTCTCTCGCCACAGGGGTTTCATTGGAGGTTGACAGAGGTGTTGTAGAAGACGCATGTTGGTTGCGGCCTGCGAATGATGCCCAACATATCAATTTATCAGAATTGGATGCTATTCTGAAGTGCGTCAATTTAGCACTACAGTGGGGTGTAACGGAGTTACACCTCTTTACAGACTCCGCGTGGTTGCACCAGTGGGTATCAAGCATGCTCACTGGCAAAGCCAGAATACGAACTAAGGTGGCAAAAGAGATGCTGATCCAGAGGCGTTTGAGTACTCTTGAAAAGCTGATTCAAGAGTATAAATTATATGTTTCATAACGCCGAATGAGAATCACCAAAGTACCGCAATGATGGTATGATGTGATCAAGAAGGAAATCAAACCAACACACCTGATATGCGCTTCTGATCAGATACGTGCTATACATTGCCAGTGTGGACATCCTGGCATGAGGCAAACGCTGTATTTTGTGACACGAGTTTACCCTACGATATCCAAGGCGGACGTCAAGGCAGTGTTCAGAAAATGTAAAGAATGCCAGTCAATTGACCCAGCCTCAAGTCGTTGGCCACGTGGCAACCTAAGTGTAACTGGAATCTGGACCCACTTAGGGATGGATATTATGCATTACAGTGAGCAACAATACCTTACGTTAATTGATTGCGGCCCCAGTTGATTTGCAATATGGCGATGCCTGCTTCAACAAGACTCAAGAAGCGTCATCCAACAGTTGGAAAGTATTTTTTTTGATTGAGGCCCACCATCAGAAATCCTAACCGACAATGACACTGCATTTTGCAGCAAGTCCTTTAAAGACTTCTTGGATGACTGGGGAGTTCAACTTCGTTTCACTGTGCCTATGTTCCTACAGGAAACAGTATAGTAGATGTAGTGAAAGAGATAATCAGATACCCCGGAAAAAAGTTCGTGTTTTGTGTGCAATCTGCCGAAGAAGGATTACCAAAAAGTAGTCAGCAAAAATCTTATAGCGAAGAAAACGGCGACTTACCTCGTCAAACCAAGTGACAGCGCGTCGCGTGTATTCTGTGACAAAAAAAGAAACAAGTCCGTCGCAGGAGTCACTATAAGAATATTTTGATATGCAAATTACGGAGCATCCTATCCCAGCTGTCGACAAATAAAAAAAATAGGTTCTGCCAATAAAAGCAGTTGGTGTTCTCGATTCGGAGGAGGGAAATTCGGGCATTTTTGGTTTCGGCGTTTGTTATTTTTCCTGACTGGTGATTGTGATTCGAGATAGTACCGGCGAATCGAGTTTTCAGCATTTCTTTCTGCCCCCGATATTCGAGTCTGTACTTACGGTGATTTTTCTTTGTGTTGTGGAAGTAATCTGCGACAAATACTTCCTTTGCTTTCAGAACACTTACACTTACAGTAGAAAGATCTCATCGGAGCATAAAGAGAAAGCAAGAAAGCAGTATTCGATAATGGAGGCAGTATACTAGCATAATATCACGCCAAAGGATGATATATCGTCGACTAATGCGCCTGCCAGTATGATTCACCATAACCAATTGAAAGTGAACATTACCACCTGATCGTTGTAAGTATCACAGTATATACAAAGTTGGGAACAGAGTATGGAACAGAGTAGGGAACATGACGAATATTGTAAGTCCACAAACAATAATAGTTGATGGGATACCACGGCATGTAAAAAATCTTCGCCTTTTCGCTGATTCTGATACATCGCCGAGCGAATCCAATGATGGTTCATCGTATGACAGTGATTGGACAATTAAGATCTGTGAATCCGATGCTTCCACAGACGCAGAGCTTGACATACATCTGATGACTCCTCAGGAGACGACTATCCGACACGCGTAAGGGAGATAGTTCCATTACGATGAAGAACCAGGATAAAGAGTGCTGCTTCAAGCTGTTCGATTTGTGATAATGAGATCAGGGGGGAGTATAGCAAACAGTGACTTACCTCGCCAAACCGAGCGACAGCACGTCTCGTGTATCCTACAACCGAAAATGTGGCGAAAAAGAAAATTACTTACCAAAAAAAAGGGCACGTATTCTGAAGACAGAATGTTTAAATTAAAAAACAAGTCCGTCGCAGGAGTCGCTATAAAAGTATTTTGATATACAAAAATTGGGCATCCTCTCCCAGCTGTCGACGAATGGAAAAAATGCTCGGCTGATAAAAGCAGTTGGTGTTCTCAAATCGGGGGACAAAATTTGTGTATTTTGGCTACTGCGTCAGAGAGTTATTTTTTTGACTGGTTACGTGCATTGTGATTTGTGAGATAGTATCTTCGAATCAAGTTTTCGGCATTTCTTTCTGCCCTGATATTCAAGTCTGAACTTACATTGATTTGTTCTCTGCATTGTGGAAGTAATCTGCGACAAATATTTCCTTTGCTTTCAGAACGCTTACAGATATGTGGTGTTGAATGATTACCTAATGCAATATTCATGAATACATGGCAACCTGCACTTGATGGAAAGATATCTTCTATTTCATTCTCTTATCAAATATTTTGTGTTGTACAAGTGCTTGCTAAATTTCATATATCTAGCAACTATTTACATTGGAAAATCTAAAAAGAATCTGCTAGAAGTTATATTTTACTATTCAAATTTATACAAAAAATATCAACAATATTGAATTATAAAATCCTAATATTAATATAAAAACTTTAACTATTCCTAGTGATGTACAAAAAATTGATTTCTGAGCACTTTTGTAAAGCTAAGAGCATTCAGCAATAAGACATTCTTAAAGATTAGTTTACTGTTGAAATTTACTATATTTCAATGCTTAAAAATCTTTAATTTATAAATTCAGGATGGAAGACTATCTAGAATGGCTCAAAAGCCAAATATTCAGGATCAGGTATGTATCAGTCAGTAGAGGATGCCAAACAGCTTGATTATATTTTTTTGAGAAACAACATTCTGACAACATACAGAATATCTTTTAACTTATCAATTTTTCTTAAATGTCATATAAAGTTTTCTTATTAATCAGATTTAGAATTACAGCTTTTTTTTGAGATTCTGAAAAGAAAATTGCTAACCTTTGTTCTTTTAACTGAGCTCGTCGTCTTGTTTCATCTTCTTGATGCAATACTTTCTTCAATTGTGAAAATAATTCATGCTTTTCATTTTTTAATGACTCATGCTTTGTTTCCATAATTCCAATCTAAAAAAGGGAAATGAAAATTTAATATTTTGAATATATTTGATTGAAAATGGATTAAATTAGACAGAAAAAATTTAATCCAATATTTATGCATAGAATAATTTTAAAAAATGGTTATACATTATTTTATAAAAATAATCAATTAACTAAAATTTTTGAAAATCAATTACAAAGTGATAATTTTGAATTTAACTGTACTAAGACTAAAAATGGCAAAAATATATTTGAGAGTTAAAGAAAAATAAAAAGTGCAATCTTCTATATGACATGTCCAATGGTTTTTCTCTTTTTATGCTTTAATTATTTTTTTTTGATCTCTTAAATGGATGTTCTGTCATCCATTTGTAAAAGGAGATAGGTAATGTATTAAAAAACTGATTTGATATGTAAGTAATAGCTTTCATATAAATGTATTATTACTTTCTCTTTCATTTTCAATTGTTCACTCTTTGTAACATAAAAGCTGTTTAAAGATATAATTTTAAATATATCTAAGACATAAATTTTTATCAACAATGGCATTTAATTAAAATTTCTCTTGGATCTATAGGGATATATAATATAAAATATATATATATATATATAAATATATATGTCAAAAAATTTTTAAAATTAGTTTAAGTCTTTTGGGCCTACTTAACATATTAAACATTTAGGTGGAAGTTTTTATAGAACTGGTGTACAAGCAAAAATAAAATTTACACTTAAATTTAAAATCCTTTCAGTCAATAATCCAAGAATTTATAAACAATGCCTTTTCTGGAATTAGATGAGCAAAAAATTCATATTAAAATATATATAAATATATAATAGACTTAATTGACAATTATTTAATATATTTTCTAAGAATAACAAAATGTATTATCAGATATTTATAGCTTTTTTTTTCATTAAATAATCTTAATTAATTTAAGAATATATTCAAAGACAAATGTTAGTATAAGAATATGGGTATAAAATTCCTGTCCAAGAAAAAATATTTGGGATAAAATTTTTGACAAAAAAAATAGGAAGAAATTTGTTCCAAATCATATTTTTAATATAAATTACAGTGATTGAAAAATTTCCATTAGAAAATCAATTTTCATAATTTGAAATCCAGTGAACTATATAAATTAATTTAAATTTCTTTGTTACCATCTTTTTATTCATAAAAATTGCAATTTTATTTTTTTATAAAATGGCAAATAATAAATATTTCACTAAATCGGTTAATCTGAAGATTTTTATAATATTATAAATATAAGTTTATTCTTGCTGGATCCAATAGATAAATAGTTTTAATATCTTTGTCAATTTCAAGAAAAAAAAAAGTAACAAAATCACATTGGTAAATGTTTTAGATCATCTTAAAATGTAATATCAGGTTTTCAAAATCATAAATCCAGGAAAAAATTTAAAAACACCAGATTCAATGAGAAAGTGAAATTTTTTTTTTTTTTTTTTTTTTTTTTTACAGTATCAAATGAAAAAAAACTTTTCTAAACCTCTTTATAAAAAAAAAAAAACTAATGACATTTTGTTTTATCTCATGTTTTTTTGATGAAAAAAAAAAAAAAAATAATATTTAAAACTATCTGAAGTAGGGATAGTAGGTAAGTTTCATGAAAGAAACATTCTAGTACTATTAATTTTGCAGATGTTTTTTTTTTTCATTAATTAACAAATGGTTCATATGTTCTGACAAAACATTGTTGTTTTCCACTTAATCAAAAAAATAATTTTCAATCAAGCTAACCATGGCCATCCTCTTTGTTATCTTTTTTTAAAAATTTAATTTTTTATTAGGAATTGGCAGAGTACATTGGGGTGATTCACATTTGGTTTGAAAAGAGGATATTGTCACAATATTCTATTCTTTTTTCTTAACAATACTTTTCAGGAATTCTGATTTCTAGTCAGCTAAGAATATCAAAATATTCAACTGGCCAATGTCTATTGTAGTTCTTGTCATAGTATGTTGAAATTGTTTTTCTTTTTTGTTTTTTGGAAATAATATTTTTTTCGTCCCCACAGTCTATTTCTCTCAAGTAACCACATTTTCAATTTCATTGCGTATTTGTTGATAAGATTTAAATAAAAAAAAATAAAAAATGACTAATTGCACATATTGCATACATTTTTTACCTGTTAACATTATATTTTTCTTTAAATAAACAAATCAAGTTTCAAATCCTATATTGAAATTTTATTTTCAAAATTCAAATTTTATTTTTTTGTTTTATCCCCTTCCATGTTTTTAACCCATCTACTAATATCAAAATGGACCTATCTAAAAGTAAAATATCAATCATTCGTGTTTTAAGGTCGGCAGGATCTGTTCTAATGTTATAAATCCATTCAGCTACTATATTAAATAGCAAAAATGGTTACATTTATTCCAGGATTACACCATGGCCTATCCTATAAATGGTCTTTTGAGAATAAACTTTCAAGAAACACACATATATATAGTTTTGTCATAATAAAAATAGGTTTTTCATTGTAAATGATTAGTTTTAGGGCAATGTGTTAAATGTTTTATTAAAAATCAATTTAAAAAATTTATTTTTCAAATAATTTTTTTTTCTTTAGTTCATCAAACAATGTAATTGTTTTGTCAAGTGGGAGGATTATTAACCTATCAGCCATTATCAGGAATTTTTTTAACTGAATAGGTAAAGAATTTTTATTATATTTTTATATATATATATATTGATATATTATATATATATATTATAAGAAATTTTTTTTTTTAATTCCACAAAGTAACAGTTTGGGGAACAAAAGGTGGAACTTATGTTCATAAATGATAGTTGGTTTATTTTTTTTCATAATAACATTTGTTAGAGTTACAAATTAAGTTGTTGTCTAGTGGAATGAAGAATACAACTCTTTGAACATTTAAATTTAATATCAAGCTTTTGTAATGATAGGTTAACAAGAATGCTAGTTTTGAAACCATTGCTTTTGAAATGTTAACTAAAAAAAAAAAAAAAAAAAACATTTCACCCCAAGCAAGGTGGGAGGAGTGCCACTAGCATGCAAGGGGTTACAGATCAAGGCATCAGAAGATGTCAATTGACATTACATTTAAATTTTTGAAGATTATAGCTATCAGGGAAGCAAGTAAGAGGAAGGGAGTTTCACTGTCAGTAAGTGTGAGAGAAGAAGCTGTTGGAGTAGAAGAGGTAGTTACATTTGTTTTGACAGTGAAAGAGTGGGACTGAGATGCCAACCTAGTAGCACGCTTAAATTAATGCAGTTGGGGCACCAGTGAAAATAGCTTGTCAGAGCAGTTGCCATGAAAATATTTGTAGAAAAGACAGAGGGAAGCCACATCACATCTGTGAGAAAGTGACTGGAGTTGAGATACCAAATCCAGGCTGATCACATTGCATATCTGTCTTTGGATTTTGAAAGAACCTTTAGATGAACAGCAGGGACACCAGACCATATATAGCAACAGCATTCAATGAATGGTAGATTTGTAGATTTGAAGGATGGACTCAGATGAGAAAAACCTTCTGGCGCGACACAGAGAACCAACTTACCTTGTGGTAGATGTAGCTATTGATTCAATGTAGTTGTTCCACCTCAGGTCAGTGGAAAACATGAGACCAAGAAGGTGCAGGGAAACACTTTCATGAAATTGAGCATCAGCCATGGGAGTTTTCTCTATGGTGAGTAAATGAGAGCAGTTTCATTTTGGAGGCATTAAAGTTTACAAGCCATTTCCTGCCCCAGTCAACCACAGATTGGAGGTCCTTTTTGAGACCAACAGCCAGGTTAACTTTGTCAGCAATGCTGGATTTACTATTGAGACAGGAGTAAATGGTAGTGTCATCTGCGTAGATGCCTACTTGAGAACTGATGACATCAGGAAGATTGTTGATGAAGATCAGAAACAGTGTAGGACCCTTGGGGAACACCAGTGTTTGTATGAAAGGAACTAAAGAAGAACCATTTTAGGATATCCTTCATTTCACAGTTTGACAGGAATGATTGTATTAAATCAAATAATCATCCTGTAATACTGTATCCCTGCTTACAAAGAAGGCTGGCATGCCAAACCCTATCAACTGCCTTAGAGATATTTAGAGCTACACCTCGAACTTCACCATTATTATCAAGAACTTGATATACAAATTCAGTTATGGCCATAAGTACATCAGCAGCAGAAACCATATTATTTGTCAGAGAGTAGATCATGGGATGTAAGGTGCTTAACTACTTCAGCATTGATTAAAGCCTCAGAGACTTTGCCAAAGAGATTGATAGGATGGTAGTTAGATGGGTCAGAAGGGACTCCAGAGTTCTTAAAAATGGGGACAACAGATGAGGACTTCCAACAGGCTGGAAAGCAAGTGTCAGTGAGGCAATAGTTATATAGTTTGGAGAGAACTGGAGCCAGCTCAGGAGCACATTTCTTTAGGACTACGGCTGGTATCCTGTCACCACCACTTGCTTTATGAGAGTCTAATTTAGAGATGATGTCCAATACCATGACGGGGTTATGCTCATCTCACTCAATAGAGCCTCAGTTCTAGGGGGAAAATCAGGTGTGGGTACTCTGGATGAGTCAAGTGTTGAGTTGGATGAGAATTTCCGAGCAAAGCATTCAGCCTTATCAGCTGTGGAAGTTAGGACTTTGAATTGATTGAATAGAGGAGGGATTGTGGATTTTCTGTTGTTCAGCACACTCTTGCAGAGCTGCCAATAATCTTTAGAACCAAACTTGTGAGATGCAATACGTTGTTTCATTCTATCAGCAAATAGTAACTTTGCTTCATTGAGGACATGCTTGCACTCATTATGAGCAGAGACAAAGAGACGTCTGTTGCAATCAGACATGTTGCTCTGGTACAGATGGAAGAAGTGATTCCTATGGGCTATAGCAGCTGAGCAAGCAGGTGAGAACCAAGGAGATGAGCATGATTTAACTTGGTATTTTCTTGCTGGGATGAAAGCCTCGATGCCAGCTTTTACTCAGGAGGAGACCTCAGTTGCACATTTTTGTA